GAAAAAATATTATTGTCTATTAAATCTGGGTAGTTAATATCTGTCAAATCATAAATGCCTATTCTGTATACTTTAGCCTATGTTTGAAAGATTTGTAACTCAAAATTCAAAAATTAAAATGTTGAATTACAGAAAAATTTTGTACAATTATATAATAAAGTCATGGTGCAAACAAAAGATAGAAGAAAACGTGATATGCCTTTTAACATGATGCAGTGTAAAAAAAGGAAAATCTGTTTGACTTTAGGCAGCCTGGGATTATGATGATTGTACCATTGAAGAAGGAAATATAATCCCAGTACTCTTTACCTCTGTTTATAGCCAAAATGACGCAAATGCTGTTTACCAGTTTTCAACTCTTAGAATCAATCTGTATAGAAAACCATAGAAGTCTTAATTATGGCTGGGCATTGGAATGAGGAGGAAAGAATTGCGGGGAGGATCTGGGCTCAAAGACAGTCTCACCGAGTGGAGAGTCAAATGATACTAAGCTATATGAGAGCCATGCGTTCATTTGGTCATTTAGCAGATATCTTTTTGCAACACCTCTTGTGTCGCAGGCACCATTTTAAGTGATTGGCAACACAGTGGTGAACAAAACAGACAAACTCCTTGCTCTTATTGAACTTAGTTCAAGGGACAGACGTTAGCAAACAAGGTTTTAAAAGAATTAAAAATAACATAACTATCAAAAATGGGAATGGGAAAAGGGATGGGAGATTAGTGTCAGTATGAATACCAAATCTTCATCGTTCACAAAAGGGAATCAATTATTAATGTCTAAAACAGCACTGTCCAACGGTAGAAATGTTCTATATCTGTGGAAATGATGGTGGAAATATCCTATATCTATATCTATGTTGCCCACTATAGAAGCTATTAACTATGTGTAACTGTTGAGAACTTGAAATGTGGTATGACTGAGAAATGTGGTATGATCTCTATTTGCAGATCTCACAAATAGAGATCTGCAGATCTCCAGCTTGCCTCACCAAAACCATGCTGAAATGTGTATCATCATTATTAAACCATCACACAAGCCCAACTGGGATTCACTGTGCTCAAAATTATTTTGCATTTGAAGATAACAAAATCTTTGTAATTGCAGTTGAGTTGAATCAATTCTTGGTCATGGGTAGTTTCTGCTATGTTCTACTGATGGGTCATGGAGCCAACGTACTGAGGTTTCTAGTTTTTATTTGAAGGTTTGGGAGGATATAGGGGAAGTGAAGCTGTACAGAAATCCTTGTTAAATTAAGAGTAGGGGAACAAGGGCCACATTTTCTAGACATGGTACAGATGGAATTGTCTTCAACTTGTTTATAATCTGTTGCTAGTTTTAACAACTTCAAAGATTTTTTTAAAGGAAATAGGAAAAGGTTGGGATAGAGAGCTGAGAACATTTTTCTCAGGAGGCAGTTGGAGTGAAACATTTAAAAATTGTCAACAGAACACTACTTCTGGAGAGCTATGTCACTATTCAATTATGGGTTCAAGTGGAGTCAGAGCAGCTTTATGAAGCTACGTTATGAGTGAGAGGGAATAACTCTTTTTACTGCGATCTAAAATATTTATTCTAGTGTAGGTGGTAACAAGCACCGAGAGTCTGCTGGTTATAAACTGGATCACTTGCTCTTATATTTGAGATGTAAATGAACATGTCCTGGATGTGCTTCACATTATACCAGCAGTATTATAAGTCATGTCTGCAGATTGATTTGGCCTGATGGTTGGATAAAACTGAAGTAGAGCTGCGTATTCCAACTTGTCTACTTTAGTTGTAGTACCTGTATTTATTTGCTGTCTGGAAATGAGAAGATTTTGAGGGGAGAAGCTGTTTCTTGAATATAAGATATTCTTAATAATAATAGGCTAATATCTAAAAAGTACAGTTTATATTGTTGGAAATAAAATGGTAATATGCCCAAATCCAACCTCATCAAATGGAAACAAAGGGATATATTGGGGGTGGGGTGAGCCAACTCTGTTTACACAGGTTTTTAATCGTCTTTTCTTTTAAAAAAGTGCATGGAATACATCCAAAACAAATAATGTTTTGTTAGATGAGAAGACCAAAAGGGAAATCCTAAAGAAAGGAGGATGGATGATCTTTCTTTAATGTCAAAACTGACATAAACACGCCCCCCCCCCCTTTGCTCAAGATAATTTTCTCAACAAGACCCAGATTGCTTCAGCCTTTGCCTATCACCCTTTGAAGCACTTTCCTTATTATTAGGAGTGGGGGCAGGGTCTCCTTTGAGGATTTTTACAGCAGCGAAGAGTTCCTCCTTTAAATACTTTCACATGATGAGGGAATTCCGCTTTCAAAGTGCTGTCATCACTGTGGCTTCTCTGCCATAAGACAATTGATTCCTGGGTGAAGGTCCTTCTTAGTTTGATTGTCAATAAAGACTTACCTTTCTGATGGATTCTCTTTCTATAGCTTTGCTTTTTTGAGAGACCCAGCAAAAGAACTCCGCGTGCTCTTGGGTTGGCCATGATTCCCTTTTGAAATGTGTTCCATCACTCGGTTTCTTCAACATGGTTTCCATTATTAGCCTCCACTAATTAAAATCTGGGTGACAGAGTGAATATTCCATCTTGAAAACGCGTTTCTTCTACAGTGCAAAGGGACACTGGATTTGGGGAGTTTAGAGATGTCTTTTTTTTTTTTTGAGTCTCTTCCAATTTTTAAATACACCATGGTAAACAACAAATAAACTACTGACCTGTCAACAGTTTTTTTCCCCAGAAACATGGAACTCTTTTGAGAACTTCTACTCCATGTAACTCCACCTCACCCTGTTCTGTTCCTGAATATAGTCTTCTGGAAAATTCTATAAATATTGAGTTCATGGAGACAACACGTAGAGCTGTATGGTTTAATAGCTCGTTGGAAAGCAGTTCACTTTTCTCCCCAAAATCTTTAGTTGGCACTGACTCACTATTATTAGGAAAGAAATTGTATTAAGAAACCCCAAATAGAATTGACAGTTTTCTCGATATTATTGCCTAAGGGTGAGCTTCTAACTCTTTGTGGTGGTTTTAGATAAATGAATAAAAATTATCTGTGTCCCAAATTAGATTCTATCATTTACATCATTACTCTTGGACTTTCCCTTTGAACAGTTTGGTCATTAGAAGGTAGAAGAATCAGTATTGGTCAGGATACATTTATTATCTGCTTCTACCTGGAGGCCCCCTAAGTGTAACAGCATAACTACCAACTAAACATATTTCTTAAAACCTGCAACCTTCTTCCTGCTAGAGTGTTCAAATGAACAACCTCTCAGTCTTTTGCTGAGGGAGAAAGTAGAAGATAAGAAGAGAGCTCTAGACTAAAGTCAGAGTATCCAGATTATACAATAGGTTTGGCTCTGGCACTTATAATCTGTGTAACAGTGGCAAGTAACTTATCCTTCTGCTCCCTACCATCCACTCCCCCCCCCAAAAAAAATGCCCATAATATTAATTACCACAAACTGCAATCAAATGAGTTCTGACATTGGAGGTTAAAAAAATACGGAATGTTTCTTTTCATAGATAAATTATTTATCAATGTCCACAAACATTACCATTAAATTCTCTTTACTAGCAATTGGCACTTCTGTCATTGAACAAAGAACACCTACATATGTCAAATAAACATTAATAAACCAAATAACTATAGCATAGAATATGTTCAGATTCTTTTTAGAATTTAGCAATAGAGAAAATTGAAGTTTTCTGAAGAATACTGGTGTGTTTTAGCATAATTAATTTTTATGAAACGTTATAACTAGAAGGTTCAGGTTTTCCTGGCGATTTGCAGCAATCTTGAACTCAAATCAAGGAATTAGAAAGTGTTCAGATTCTGGGGGTCAAATCTAGCACTGACTGTGAACGCTACGTTACTGTGTAGTGGGGGATGGAGAGCTTGGGGGAGTTTCTTATAAAAATTTGGCCTGACCTAATTTGTTTAGTTTGAAACTGGAAATCATATTGTTGAAGTTTGCATTCTGTTTTCTTTCAATGGGTGTATTAACACAATGCACCATGTTTTTAAAGGGTTTCCTCCTTTCTGCAGGAATAAATTTGGCTTCTGCAAAAGGGAAAAAATTACACCAGCAATTCAGCAACATTACACCTTTTTCATCATTTTAGGGATGCAGGCTTCAGCTCAGCAACTGCAGACATATTTTCTGGAAACATATACAAACATGCCGATAAGTACTGAACAGAAAACCTGACTGTACACTCATGAACATTTGTACAATCTTATGGTCCATTTACCATTGAGTTTCTTAAAGCAAGGTGCATATTTTAAAAATCATTAGAATAAATGAAAATTGGATCAAGATGCTATTTGAGCGAAGGTGCTATCCAGAGATGCCTAAAGAACACTGTTCTATGACTTTCTCCTATGAAGTGAGCAAGCCTTTGGCCCATAAAATAGATAGAAGCAATGTTTTCCTGATACTCCTGTTCCAAGAAGTTAGATTAAAATGGACACAAGAGAATATTCATTTTTCAGTATTTTAACCATGTAACTAAGTACTAAAAAAGCATTCTTCCTGAAGAGGTGTGGAATAGTTGAAAAGTTAACAGCCAGACCAATTGGCTTGTATTTTGGAAAATGTCACCCTGTAAGACTCATGGTGCTTTAGGGCTGTGCCCAGTGACTCTGAAACTAAAAGAGAGAAAAAAAAAAGTGGTGAGAGAGAGCTTTATAAACTCAGGGATGCTCTAGAAAACTACTAGATGGTCTCAGAATGTCTCATGAAACAGAAAATCCCAATGCAACTGTAACCTGAATGCGAGGAAAAAGGTATTCTTAAAAAACAGCTGCACTCTTGCAAAATATATTATCCTTCAGCTTTTGACATTTTTTTTTTCAGGTTGAAAAAGTTAAGCATGATTCATATACTAAGGACTTCCACTCTTTGCTTAGTGTTCTTTTACCGTTGCATTCTAACCCAAGGCTGTTCCTCTCCCCTGTCTGTTTTTGGTGCCCTGCCCAGGTTGGCCGTCGTTCCATGATGTGATCAGTTCTGATGCAATCACACTCACAGACGACTTTTCCTATGGGATGCACCGAGTGGAAACAAGCTGCTCTCAGGTGAGTGAACCCCACCTGAAAACCCAGTGCGCGGCTCATTCTGTATCACAGACAGTCCGAGGACTCCTGGTTTTGCTAAATATGGCAACTAAGGCCAAGTGACTGGCTGACCCCAAAAGGGACAGACAACCCCAGCGAAGTCTCTGTCGAGTCCTAACGATATCTCAGTCTTTAGGTGTTTAGCCATTCGTTGGCTTCAACACAATTAGACAAAACTCATTGGTAGGAAAAATCATCTTCAGTTGACTCAATTGAAGATTTCATTATGGGGCCTTACAGAATCTGATGTTTAGATAATTCTTCCCTCCCTGTGGTTCTGTGTACTCGTTGTTCACAAAGTACCTCTAACGGTAATGAATCCAAACACAGTCAACCAAGACCCCAGCAACAGCTTTCTTTGGGTGGGGGTGAGGAGGGAGGGTGGAGAATGGCAGTTGCAAGAGGGAGTTCAGTGGTAGAGGTATGAGTGCAGAGTGGGAATACGGGATAAGGCAATTCCTTCTTTACTTCTCCTAGTATATAGACCTAGCCTCATTTCCTAGGATGTTCTAATTAATTCCTTTTACTCTGCCCTAACCAAATTAGTGCTGGCTCTAAGGGAGAAAATTAGCATGTGTTGGAGGAGGAGGCAGACATACTTAATCTGTCATCCTGATCAAGAGACTTGAGTATGTGGGTATTTTGTGCTTAACCTAGAGACAGAGCCAGAACCTTCTTGTGCCCAGAGTAAGAGCAACTGCACTTTCTATTCTATAGTAGATAGTCCTGTTCTTCTCTGCTTTAAATAAGTGAAATGTAAAGCCTGAGTATTATGGTACTGAAATTCACTGATACTACAGAGTATTTTGTTGGGGGATGTCTGTTGCACATATCAGAGGTAAAGGGGCCACAGTCAGGCAGCTGTAAAGCCAAGTGATTGCCACGTGGGCCTCCCTCAGCATTCTTCCATGTGCCCTTTAACCCCCTCTATCAGGCACAAGAGTTTTAGGGAGTAGGTGGCATATTTACTACCAAGTAGGGAGGGAGATTGGTTTGACCCTAACCATCTGATGAATTTGTTTTCTTTCTTTCTTTCTTTCTTTCTTTCTTTCTTTCTTTCTTTCTTTCTTTCTTTCTTTCTTTCTTTCTTTCTTTC